GAGCTGTGGGACATCTGCATTTCCCCCGCACCCACTAAAGGGATGCCCCGCAAAGAAAGAATCCGAGTGGCTCTCTAGGAATTGTTAGTGCCTAGCATTTCATGACGTGGTTTAGATCAGACAGGCACTGACTGAGCTGGACATGTCCCAGCTTTCCCAGAGGCTCCAGTCCCGACGGGTGGCCGCACAGCTGTGTGGGACCAGCTGCCTGGAAGGCAAGCAGAGCCCTTCTCCTAAGCCTATCATGGCGTCACGGCTCTTCCCACCCTAAGGCCCATCCTGGAGCAGAGCAGGCTGGGAAGCCAGGCAGACCTGGTTGGCATCTTGACCACTGAAGTAACCGGCTATGTGGTCTGGAACACAGTTTCTGAACCTCGGTTTTCAAAGACTCTGAATATGATTGATACTTACACTACTGGGCATTTGTGTTTTAAATCCCACGTTGAGTATCCACGAGGCACTGAAGTAAAGAGGAAGAAGAGTTTTGATTAATTTTGGGGTCCCCCCATCTACATAAAGCCAGGGAATGTAAATTTCCCTTGGTCAGTATATATTGTGTAGGGCATTAGTTCTCAAAGATTTTGCTGCTATATGCCCTGATGTCATTGTGGATATATTTGGACTCCTATGTGCATTTTAAGTTTCCATCACATTTTATTTTGATCATAAGTTCAAATAGTTGCAGAGGCCATCCTTGGTATTTTCCAAGTGAATATGTGCTTTCTGTATGTTTCTTTCAAAATCCTGGAGTTGCCAATTTAGCTTATTCAATGTATCATGAGTCTGTTCTCCAACCTATTGCCCAAGTTTATCCTAACTAACCAGTCAAGTAAGGCGATTTCTGTCAGAAAAAAATGGCCTGACCCCATTACTTGCGTTAATCCCTGTTCCTGCAGCGGTCATCTCGCTTTTGATTGCTTAACGAGACAAGTGAGACGGGAGCCCTGGCGCAGTGGGTCTCCCGGATGGAGTCAGGAGCAGCCGCTTCTTCAGATGCTTCTGAGCTTTAGTCCCCAGTGCACGGTGCACTCGGGAGTAGGCCCCTGGCTGGGCCCAGAGCGGTTTCCTCCGGGGGCGTCGCACCGCAGTGGAGTGCAGACCTTGGCCTCACGCGATGGTGCAGGCGTGGGGAGGAGCCTCCATCGTTTGTTTTCTCACATGGGCCTGGGGCTGGAAACCCAGAAAGTGGTTTCCTTGGCATGTTCTGTTTCCACACTGTTTGGCGAGACTTTGTCTCGCCCCAGAGCACAGACCCCCCAGAGCAGGGACGTCTGGATAAGAAACATGCCACCTGCTCTGGTCCGGCATCGGGGCAGGAGTGAGGGGAGCAATCATCTTATTCTTGGGAGGAATCATCTTATTCTTCTCAGTCTGAGTTATTAATAAGTAAATAAACTATTGCAGTAAATTGTAAGTAAAATAATAAAGTAAGTTTTTAAAAAGGTATTGTTCATCGTGAATAGCATGGGCATATAGAACACCACTGTTTGAATGAAGGCTGAAAGAGTGATATCCTGTTATTCTTGTCAGGGTGACCGTGGAGACCCTGGACCCGCGGGTCTGCCAGGCTCTCAGGGTGCCCCGGGCACTCCCGGCCCCGTTGGCGCCCCCGGAGACGCAGGACAGAGAGGAGACCCGGTAAGGAGAGGCCATTTCACTGGCAGCGACTAACATCGATGCTCTGCATTAGGAGCCACTTGGACGCATGCGTACAGTCACCATGTGCCCTTGACTAGAGCTACTTGGACGCATGAATACAGTCACCCATGTGCCCTTGACTAGAGCTACTTGGACGCATGAATACAGTCACCCATGTGCCCTTGACTAGAGCTACTTGGACGCATACGTACAGTCACCCATGTGCCCTTGACTAGAGCTACTTGGACGCATACATACAGTCACCCATGTGCCCTTGACTAGAGCTACTTGGACGCATACGTACAGTCACCCATGTGCCCTTGACTAGAGCTACTTGGACACATACGTATAGTCACACATGTGCCCTTGACTAGAGCTACTTGGACACATACGTACAGTCACCCATGTGCTCTTGACTAGGACTCCAAACCAAGAATGACAAACAGTTCATTATGAGTTAATTTTCTTAGTCTTTGAGGCAAACATTTGATTTCTAATAGATATTCAAAAATTCTGATGCTTTGACTTTCACCACCTAAAATGTTGTGATTTATAGGAAATCGTGTTAAATTTAAGCAAGTACTGCTTCACAATTAATAAAACTGATTATAGAGTGTCATTGGAGTGAGATGAGCACATTCTTATACCAGGAACATTAGCCTGGTTTTCATTAATTAGCCAGAAGGGTATGCATAGGTGCCCATAAACTTAGTAAATATCCAACTACAAATATGTCTTTTAAATTCTATATCTACATAGTATATGCACTTGTTTTTTTTTTACCAACTTTTGTGAAAATTTCTTCTAGGGTTCCCGGGGTCCCATAGGGCCACCTGGTCGAGCTGGGAAGCGTGGCTTACCTGTAAGTTCTGTTTTTCTTTAGAAAATGATGTCTTCTTTCATAAAATACCCTCCCAAAGAAAAAGTACAATTTAAGGTTTATAAATTACCAAATTTCTCAAGCTATGGATTCTTTCAAATAATCAATAAAGATTCTTAGAGTCACAGTTGTCTCCCAAAATAATAGGAATAACCATACCCTTCTTTCTGAGATTTTCTAAAAATCACATAATGGGTTTAAAAGCTGTAGTCAATATTATGTTTTATTTTCAATGAGATTCCACTGCCCGTGTTCAGTTCTTTTGCTACTTGCAGTTACTTCCAGGTCAGAGAGCCTTACACAGATGTCTTACTGGGAATGAATTATTTCTATAGGCGGTCTCTTCTGTTCCTCTCACACCTGTTATATAAATCCATATCAATAGTTATGAAGATCATGGCCTTAAAATCCTGGCCTATTATTAGATCACAATTCTCACTTTCGATTTGAGCCCGGCTAGAGAGGATTTCATAGTTCCATAGCATGTTCAAGTCAAACGTTTTCTAGCCAGTTACAAAAACAATCCAGTTTCATTTTTCATGATTAAATGAATTTTAGTTAATAATAACAAGTAGGTGGTTTCTGGTTTAGTTTATTTTCAATTATGAAATTTTGGAGCATTCCCCAAGTAAAAGAACCTCTCTAACATTATGAAAGCATTCAGGCTGATTTTAGTACATAATATATTTTTATTGATTTCAGAGGGGAAGGGAGAGGGTTAGAACATCAATGATGAGAGAGAATTATTGATTGGCCGCCTCCTGCACGCCCCTCACTGGGGATTGAGCCCGCAACCTGGGCCTGTGCCCTGACCAGGAATTGAACCATGACCCCCTGGTTCCTAGGTCAATGCTCAACCACTGAGCCATGCTGGCTGGGCTGATTTTAATATTTAAATTTACAACATTATATAAAATATAAAAAATTACTGAGATTTAGTCTTGTTTTTATTATAAAAAGGTTTTCATACTGTTTGACAATTAGGATATCCAAATTAAAAAAAAAGAACCATACAAAATAAGAACAACAAACTGGTAAGGAAAAATATTAACCCAAGAGCCTGTCTGTTTGGTGGTCTCTTTCATCCTCCAGTTCTTTTCCAGGAGAGCTGCCGACAGCACAGCTCCCCCACGTAGGCGACCTTGTCAGTTTACCATGAGCTCTGGACCGGAGCTGCTGTTGTCACCTAAGACTTAAGAACCAGGAAAGAAAGAATGAAAGGAAAGGAAGGAAGGTGCCCGAGACTGATTAGACTGATCAGATAATTTTCACCTTTTCTCTCCGTGTAGCTTCTCTCCCATAAGAAGATTCTTAATTATTGCTTTTCCTTTAGTTTCTCAGGATCGGAATTGATGCATCTACTCTCTTAGCAACTTTCCAGTATGAACAGTTTTTTAATATAGTCCCAGCTGTCATGTCCAGTTTATCTGCATATGCAAATTTAATAAGCATGTTCTTTTTAGAGGTAGCATAGTAAATAAGGACTCATGTTTTGCTTTTAAAGAAGCTATTTATGGCAGCAATGTTTTCACATAATAGCAGCCGAGTATGTGAAATACAGTCTTTGAAACTGTTTTAGATAAGAAAGACCAACTTAAAAATACCTCATTTTAGTATAAATATAGGATAAACATTAAAAAACTAACTCTTAGGAAAGCATTATTAAATGCATTATGTTTTAATTATTACCTTCATTCCAAAAGGCAAAAATCTCTAGGTCTGATTCCATTTATATAAGTAAATATGTTCATATAAAGTGTAGTACTCAAAATAGCAGTAAATACAATTGTAAAAGGTAAAATTGTAGGAAATTGTAGTCTCAACAGGCAATACCCATGCATGACCCTGTTTCTAGGGACCCCAAGGGCCTCGCGGTGACAAAGGCGATCATGGGGACCGCGGCGACCGAGGCCAGAAGGGCCACCGGGGGTTCACCGGTCTTCAGGGACTTCCCGGGCCTCCTGTAAGTAACTTCTCCACCAATGACCTGCCCTCCGTGTGAACGTGCACAGCTGTCTTGACGTGGACACTTGTCGTAAAATGGATGGACGTTTTGTACCTTACTGTCCTTTCAAAATAATGAGTTACCCACCTGGCCACCGTCATTGCCATTTGTGAGCTGTGACTTTGTAGGAAAGACATGAACCCAAAGGGTATGTCCACCGTTCCTCCTGCGCTGTCGTTACTTCTGGGCAACTCACGAAGACCTTTGGAGACATGACTGTGCAAGGAGTTGATGCAGCTGATGTCAGCGGCAGCGGATTTTAACCACCCGAGGCGGCAGAGTGCAGGATGGGAATATTTTGGTAACATTTTACATGTTTTTCCCACTCAGGGTCCCAATGGTGAGCAAGGCAGTGCTGGGATCCCTGGACCATTTGGCCCACGAGTGAGTAACTGAGCTGAACCAGGTGTGAACGGCGATGCGTGCGGTGATGTCCTGTGAGAGCCCGAGTAGCATTTCACGGGTTGAAGCGAGAATGGCCCAGGTTCTCTGACGCAGGCAGCCAACGCATGAGAGAAGCCGGTCGGCAGTCACCTTTAAGTAGAAAGCCCTGTGCTATGATGTGCTATTTCATGGTCGCACATTAAACCTCTCTCCTGCGGTGAATGCACTCACCGATGGGCCATCCTTACCCGTGTTCACTGACATGTCCGTTACTTCGCACTCTTGGAGGTGGTCTCCTAGGACTGCCCGTGCAGCGGAGGCAGGGCTGGCTGTTCTGCGGCTGAGTGTGTTTTTTTTAAGGAACTGGGGTCCTTCCTCAGAGTGTTTGGCTTAAGGCTAATTCAGAAGCAAATCATAAAATGAAACCAACATTTGTGGCTTTTAGAAATTCCACATTAGTATTCATGCTGCCCCTAATAGGTCATTAATGTCATAACATAATTGACCGACATAATTATTAGGAAAATCATTAGAATTTCTGCTATGTCTAAATCTAGTGTAAACAAAACATTTTAGGAGAGTAGTATTAAAATTGTTAGGATGTCATGAGATACTTGTATAAACACACAAACATAACTTATAATTATGTTAATCACTTCACCTTCTGCCTTTTTCTTACTCCTAGTTCACTGAATTTATAACTGAGTTTACAATACATGAGATTTGATGAAATAGTCCCAATACTAATAAAAGTAGATGACGAGTCCATTAAAGGTTTGAACTGCTGCTGGTCTTTTATGTGCATGGATGGAAATTGATGTGCGATGAAATAGTAAAGTAGGAATGTTCTGGAACTCCATTCGTTAGTCATTAGGATCTGAATCTGAGAAACTGCTGTGATAGTTCATCAGGAAAAAGGTTCTTTGTTTAGAGAAGGGCGCTGTGGGAGTTTTCTCAGAGAATCTAACATCCAGTTTTGTTTCTCGCAGGGTCCCCCGGGCCCAGTGGGCCCCTCAGGGAAGGAAGGAAACCCCGGGCCGCTGGGCCCCATCGGGCCTCCTGGAGTGCGGGGCAGCGTCGGGGAGGCGGGGCCCGAGGTGAGTCACAGGGTGTGCGTGCTGAGGCTCTGCTGGTCCTCACAGCCGGCGCCCAGCCGTGGACGAGGGACAGAAGGGACTCTGAGAACAAACCTGAAAGTCACAGGAGAGCTTGTCTGTAGAAGTAACTGTTTCAGCTCTTTAATCCAGATCGTTCAGAGCCGGTAAAATCAGAGTCCAACGTGCTGGGCCTCCTTTCATGGGCACCGATGAGAGCAGAGAGCGCGGCGTGCTGGGTCCCGATGGAGCTCGGGGGAAGTCGCCTGGCCTTCATGGCGTACACTAAGTGTGAGGCAGATGAGTGTAGTTGCTCATGAAAATGCTGCAAAGTGAAGAGTGTGAAATCTGAGCTTTCCTCTATTGCAAATGACATTAGGAAGGATTTCAATGAACGTTTTCATCACAACGTTCCAGTAGTGCCGACTGAGGGTTTTGTAAACTGTGTTGGGCTCTGGCTTCTCGGATCGTTGGGACCCTCCTCATCTCTCTTCCTCTTCGGTCCGATTGACCTGTCCCTCTTTATTCTGACTCTGCCCCTCACTGGCCATTACACTGAATATTTATTACTTATTTTATGAAACGAAAAGCCTTATGTTTCCCATGGTCCAGAGGAGTATTCCCCGTTATCTCTCTGTGGGCGGAAAACAGCCGGAAGTGCCATTCCTCTGACTTATTGGCCCTCCACTGACTTTATGTGGCGGTTCCTCGTCCTCGCTAGGAAAAACCTCCTGAGATTGGTGTAAAGGAACTCACGGGCCATGATGTGAGCTTAAAAGTGAACCCAACAGGTGTCACAGGCTCTTGAGGTGAGGAAAGGCTGAAGCAACTTGTCCAGAGCCAGCTCCTCAGGGGCGGACTCCAGCCTTGTCTGCCAGCGGGAGCTCCCAGGTGAAAGGTGACCACACATCTTCCAGCTTCTGGGCTGATTCTTTGGTTAAGGGAAGGGCTAGAGAGCCGGGCCGGTGTGGGTCAGTGGTTGAGCGTTGACCTATGAACCAAGAGGTCACGGTTCCATTCCCGGTCAGGGCACATGCCCAGGTTGCAGGCTTGATCCCCAGTGTGGGGCGTGCAGGAGGCAGCCGATCCATGATTCTCTCTCATCATTGATGCTTTTCTCTCTCTCCCTCTCCCATCCTCTCTGAAATCATTAAAAATATTTTTTAAAAAGGCTAAAGAGAACATTCTTAAATTTTATTTAGCACACAGAATTTTGAGCTACCCATTAGTTTGTACAATTAAGACTTCCCGCCTTCCCCCTTATTTGAAAATAGGGGACAGTTGTCTTGTGGGTGTTCGTTGTGGGTATGTCCTTGGTGTTGACGTGCAATCTTACAGAACTGGGACCCACATTCCTCTGCATCCGCCCTTTCAGCGTCTGTCACAGATCCTGTGAGACATTGTAGTTGGCCTTGCCCCCAATCGTCTGGAAATGAATGGCCACAGCTGCATATTTAACATAAACTATATTCATCTTCAGGGTGAACATCAGAGCACACACTTGGTGCTCTGAGCTTGCTGTAGCTCAGATGCCGACTTGCAGGCCTGTTGCCTGGGAGGTAGTTCCGCGTCACTCTCTCCCTTGGGAGGTTACAGGCTGGCAGGCAGAGCCCTCAGGTTAAAGGGCGCGACTCCCAGGTCCCTGCACCGTGAGGCCGGGTGTAACTCCCTGGGCACCAAGTCCCAGCAGTGCCTTGTGTCCAATGGAAAACAAAACAACAAGTGTGTTCATGTGTTTCCAATGTTCTTAACCATCAGGGTCCTCCGGGCGAGCCTGGCCCGCCTGGGCCTCCGGGTCCCCCGGGCCACCTCACGGCCGCCCTTGGGGACATCCTGGGGCACTACGATGAGAACATGCCAGACCCCCTCCCCGAGTTCACGGAAGACGAGGCGGCTCCTGACGACAAGAACAAGACGGACCCCGGCGTCCACGCCACCCTCAAGTCCCTCAGCAGCCAGATTGAGACCATGCGCAGCCCCGACGGCTCTAAGAAGCACCCGGCCCGCACGTGTGAGGACCTGAAGCTCTGCCACTCCGCAAAGCACAGCGGTGAGTGCTCCGCGTTCCTGACCGGGTGTTCTCAGCTGCATCCCAGCCACGTTTCACTGACCGCACTCCAGACATGTAGTGATGCCGAGAGAGGACATGGTCACCATGTCATAGAGTTTGTGGGTTAGCGGGGGGGACCGCCAATGACATGAAGAACGGGGGTGAGACGATAAATACTCTGAGAGAGGACACATCCTGTTAATGATCTAACCTCCTCCTGGTAGTGCCATTTCCATCCAGAAGTCGTCACAGTTGGTGATTTTGTGGTGCTGTGACGTGGAGAACACTTGCTGAAGCAAGGCTGGCTTTGACCTACCTCCATGACTTCGCAGGGATTTAATATGCTCACATGTATCATTGGGCCTTCAAGAGTAGAATGAAGTTTATTTTATTTCCCAAACTTATTTGACGATGAAGTAACTTTCATGCAGTTTAATGTTCTATAAATACAGCTTTAAGGATCTCTGCTGGCAGGAGTATATGTTAATACAAAGTATTTTGGAATTAAGTAGTCTTTCTGTCCTCGTGGTGTAAACCATGCCTTAAGTTTGCAGTATTCTGTCATTTTGATTAATCTAATCAGACCTGGGGAAAAGGGATTCTGGGCCATAAGAAGAAGCTGTGAAATGCTTAATGGCTCCAGTTAACTTTGAAATGACATTGACAGGGAGAGCTGAAATGATCTGTGAGGACTAGGCAGTTTCATTCTCAGCTCTAGACTTTATAGCCACCAATGTCTCTACATTTTACTTAAAACGCAGTTTTTCGTGCCTATTATATATACACACTTAAGTATACATACACACAGATAGATGCACAAGGACATATTTACTTGTGTATTTGACTACGTGTCCAGCACCATGCACTGACTTGGTATAACCTATTTCAAGTATCTCTCAGATATAATAGAGATCAATTCTAACTAGGGCCAGTGAGATAATTCATAACATTCTAATCACAGTTTAACTCATATACTTACTATATCGATAGTTTTGACAATACATGACTCTCATCATGTTTGAAGTTCACTTTTCTTAGCAAATATGTTTATTTTGGAAAACAGGCGAGTACTGGATTGACCCTAACCAGGGGTCCGTGGAAGACGCCATCAAAGTTTTCTGCAACATGGAGACGGGCGAGACGTGTATCTCAGCCAACCCGTCGAGCATCCCCCGGAAAACCTGGTGGACCAGCAGGTCGTCCGACCACAAGCCCGTCTGGTACGGCCTCGACATGAACAGAGGCGCTCAGGTAATCGCCGCCGCTCGCTTACAGTCGCGTTTGCTCTTCACTCTTCATCACGCCTCGGGGTTTATTTAGGACCATGTTGTTATTTTTTGACCAGATTTATTTTACCTTGTTAATTTTAAAGTCATATATTCTCATTAGTTGCCATTGCTGTATCATTGCATAAACAAAGTTTTAGTATGAATTAAATGAACATAAATTTTGCATGGTGATTTTTTCATTGGTGGGATGTAGGAAGTAATTATTTTTATTATCAGTTCCTTAATGCCTGTCACGCTGACTGTGAGGTATACGTGAAGGGGTCTGGCCCCCTGAAGGACAGGAGACCTAGGTGACTGCTCCCTGGATGGGGACAGCAGGACGCCACTAACCTTCCAGAGCCTCAGGCTCTCATTGTGAAGTGTTGGTGACGATATCTATTTCATAGTCTTTGTGTGAATATAATGTCCTTACTATAGTATCCAACACCTGGTAAGTTATCTATAATAATAAAAGCGTAATATGCTAATTAGACCAGACATCCTTCCGGACGACCTTCCCGACGAAGCCAGGGCTGCAAGGGAAGCCCGGGTCCCGGGTGCCAGAGGGAAGCTGGTGCTGGCAGCCGGGGGAAGGAAGGCCTACTCTTGCACGAATATTGTGCATGGGGCCTCTAGTAAATAAATATTACATAATTACTATAAGTATTCATAAAATTAAAC